CCCTCCTCCCTCTCTTTTTCTCCTCTCTTCTGCTTCATCATCATAATCACACCCACAAAACAACAAATTGTCTCGGCACTCTGTATAAAAAAATCCAATCAAATCACGCCCTCTTGAGTGTTATTCTTCCTCGCCAGTTCTAAACTAATTTTTAAAACTGTTATTTTTGATGAACACATAATCTCTCCTTTATCTTTCCAAACTTAAAAAACTCGGTTCTTGAGGGAACCATACCCTTCTCGAACTATATATATTGAGGCAGAGGCGAATAAAAACTGACCCTTTTCGCATAGTTCTTCTTTAGTCTGAAATGGTGGTGAAGATGATGAAGTGGAGGCCATGGCCTCCACTATCGTCCAAGAAATTTGAGGCTAAAATCATGATAAATCAGCTAAAAGGCTTCAAGTTTTCGCCAGAGATGTCAATGGTTGTTCAAGATTTTTCAAGACTGGCTGTGGAGATTAAGTGGAAAGGATCAAAGGGCAATGCTTTGAGTTCTTTGAGAAGAATTGTCAAGAGGAATATCACAAAGGAAGAGTCTTTAAGAGCAGATGGAGTTGTTGAATGGAATGAGGAGTTTCACAGTTTATGCAATTTCGCTGTTTATAAAGATGGTGTTTTTTACCCTTGGGAGGTGGTTTTCACCGTCTTCAACGTGAGTTCTCAATTGGGATTGCTTTGCTTTTGATTCTTGTTCATTGACTTTTTCCCTTTTCTGGTGGAGATTTTTTATTCTACATTATTGGGTTTCTTGGATGCTGTATATTGATGATAGCGGATGCTTTGACTTTTTGCCATGCTCTGTTGGGATTTAACAAGTTGATTATGTGTTACTAGTATGAAACTATATGAAAATGTCAAACGAGGCATAGTATTAGGAAGGCTAATTACAATCAAATATGTTTATTTGCTTTAATTATGCGAAATCTTTTATTGTTATAAAACTGCATAGTGGTAGTGTCTTCAGTTGAAATTTCTGGGTTAGGACGAAACTTTGACCTTTGATTAGTGAGGACTGAGATGGAATTATCCTTGCTCCGTTGTTAATAAATTTCCACTGTTTGATCGGTCTGAAATTCACTAATAAATTATCCCTTTCTTGGTTTTCTGGGAATACGGAATGTTGTCAGTATCTATTTTATGGTAATTTCCGTTCTTCAATTTGATTGCTTATGCTATGCGGCAGTCTTGTCCTTTTCTTGGTGGATTACTTCGTTGAATTGCATAATTAATCTCCCAAAACTAAAAAAAGCTTTCTTTTTCTTAAGGCTGAAATAAATAGAAACTACTTATTCGGCCTTTTTTTTAAAAAAAAAAAAACCTTTTTTCAAACATTTTTTTTTTAATTATTGTCTTTGTTCCTTCCTTTTTTTCATTTTTTCGGGAAAATGTAGCATATTTTTCCTCAAAAAGAAATTTGAGTAATACTACTAGTATTGTACTTCTTGACCAATATGTTGGGTGGGTGTTTTTCGTTGTTGGTTGAAGAAGAAAAGAGCTTCCATCAAAAATGGTCGCCAACGCTTTTGTCATTTCCTGTTAGGCATGCACTTTTAAGAGTAGTGGCAATTTTTATGGTAGCAAATATCTATCTACTTTATTATCCAGCCACAAATTTCTGGGAATATGTCAAGCCCTTAAGTGTTGACCACCTTATTGGTTGATGCCATAAGGCTATTCTCCATGTGAACTGGTCCTTAGAGGCTATCAGCTTTCTAATAACTAATGATTTTGTGTGGCTAAGTGGAGCCGCTTATATTTTTATCTCATTGTGGACGTGACGTAAACCTGGTGTAGAGCTTACACCATTTCGTTCTTCTTTTTCTTTGCCTATTCTTGTCCTGTTGCTTGTTGGCTGAAAAGAGAGGCAACGGATGAAGAAAAAGGAATGATTAAAGAATGATAATTATTATAACAAAGAAGACAGTTATGGCATATTTGTGAAACAGAAGAGCGAAAGCTGCTCCCTTAACTTGCACCGATTGTCCTATTGAGCTATATGACTTTGTAATCCAAGAATCCCTTTTTTTTTTTTTTTTTTCCTTTTTTTCTGTGTGTGTGTGTGTTTGGTTACTTGGAACTAATCATTTTTAGTTTCATCTTATTAGATTTTACCAATGGTGATGCGTACAATTACATCACTTGAATTTGTTTGGAAACCTGTATGACCTTCTGCTGCGTAACAGGGTTCAAATGGAGGAGAGCTTGACAAGGTCCTCCTTGGTGCTACAGCATCATTGAACCTTGCAGACTTCACCTCTACAGCCGAACAAAAAGACATTGAAGTTAGCATTCCTCTGCAAGTATCCAACTCCAACAATGAGAGCAATGCATCACTCCATGTAAGCTAATTAAAAATTGCTCGACCGTTTTACACTTTTATTTTTAAAGCACCTCAGTTCCACGCTTATTCTTCTTTTTAATGTTTTTTGTTCTTAAATCTCAAAACAGAGACGGTTATCGTTTCTTGTTGTCACTTGCGTCCATTTTCTGAAATCACATCTCATCTTGGTTACAGCTATCTCTTAGACTTCAAGAAATGAGAACTTCTCAGGAGCCTTCAGAAATAATTCAAAGACCATTTGCCTGTCTACCACTCTCACCCTACCGTGAAGTTCTGTCAACAGAGAAAGATGAGGTTTCCACCCTAAAAGCCAGTTTAAGGAAGGTAAATCTTTTCAAGGGACTATCTACTAAGAAACCTAAGAAGGAATCTCGTGAGGATGAAGGAAGTGATGGAAAGAGCTCAGTCAGAAGTGAGGATGCTCCATGCATCTACCCATTAGACACGGATTCACTAGATGTTTCCGATGAAGAAGAGGATGCTAAAGAAGGTAAGGATACCCATATCAGGAAGTCATTGAGCTATGAAACATTGAAATCTGCAAACCATGCCGGAAGATTGTTTTACTCCAGCACAAGCAGTAGTGAAGATGAGGATTGGATCTTCTATAGCTGTGATAAAGTAAATGCAGGAAACTTGTCTCATGATGACCCAATTGCGTCAGTCTCTATAACTGATCAGTCCCTGAATAGTTCAATGCGCAGAATTCTTCCATGGAGGAAAAGGAAGATGAGTTTCAAATCTTCAAAAGCCAAAGGAGAGCCACTACTGAAAAAACACTACGGAGATGAGGGGGATGATATTGATTATGATCGCCGTCAACTTAGTTCTTCTGATGAATCAAGCTTTGCAGTAAGCATTATCTTTTCCTGCTATGTTGCTAAATGATTCTTTCGAACTCTTATGATGATAATTTAATGGAAGTGGTTACATGACTCCTATTTATCTCCACAGAAATTGATCAAGCTTTACTATGTTTACTATTGCAGCTGCTCAAAACTGAGGAAGATGCAATAACAACTAGATCTTCAGTTTCTGAATTTGGAGACGACAATTTTGCAGTGGGTAGTTGGGAACAAAAAGAGATTTTTAGTCGTGATGGGCAAATGAAGTTGCAAACCAAGGTTTTCTTTGCTTCAATTGATCAGAGGAGTGAACGAGCTGCAGGTGAAGGAGCATGTACAGCTCTGGTTGCTGTTATTGCTGATTGGTTCCAAGCCAATCCTGATGAAATGCCCATCAAGTCCCAACTCGACAGCCTGATCCGAGAAGGTTCATTGGAATGGAGAAATCTCTGTGAAAATGAGACCTACAGGGAGCGGTTCCCGGACAAGCATTTTGACCTTGAGACTATCCTTCAGGCTAAAGTTCGTTCACTTTCTGTAGTTCCAGAGAAGTCCTTCATTGGCTTTTTCCATCCAGAAGGAATAGAGGATGAAGGTTTCGATTTTCTTCAAGGTGCCATGTCCTTTGACAACATTTGGGACGAGATCTCTCAATCCGGACAAGATTGCACTGCTGATGCTGACCCTGTAGTCTATATTGTAAGCTGGAATGATCACTTTTTCATCCTCAAGGTTGAACAGGATGCATACTATATAATTGACACATTGGGGAGAGGCTTTTTGAAGGCTGCAACCAAGCATTTATCCTCAAATTTGACAGAGATACAACAATTTATCAGGTACCTAATGACACTCAAAAATCGGATGATAAAGCTGCTTGTAATAAAGTGGAGCAAAATGACCTGAAGGAGGCTGTTGTTGCTGAAGAACAAATTGCCGTTGAGAATGAAGAAGAATCAGATCCCGTCTGCCAAGGCAAATGTTCCTGCAAAGAGTACATTAAGAGCTTTTTGGCTGCAATTCCCATAAGGGAACTACAAGTTGACATCAAAAAGGGCCTGATGGCTTCAACCCCTCTTCACCACCGGCTACAAATTGAATTCCACTATACCAAGTGCTCACGACCTGTGCTGGTCTCTGATTGCATGCAAGCAATTGGTCATACGGAGGAAGTTCTACCTTTGGCAGCATAGAATGTGGTGTTTTTGGGCCGTCTAACTCAATCATTTTGTTGTGCGATTTGCGTTTTAAGATTTTCCCCTTGAGAATGCCCTTTTTACGAGGACTGCTCTTGTACAGGCAATTATCTTTTCTACCTTCTAAATGTAAAGGTGCACCTTGTTACCTTTATGCAGCATTTTCTAGAACCTTAAGAGGTTGATGCTGTAAATGACCATAAATCTAGAGTACTTGTAACTTTGTTGAAGTTGCTTTTATTGTATTCGCTAGAAATTTGGAAAAATTAGCTGGTCCATCATCGTATGGCTGGGAGCAAGGGCTGTGCCCTCAACTAATTGATGGATTAATAAGGTCATGACATTAGCATCTTGCTCTCTTTTACCCAGAAAGTGAGATCTTCAAACTAAAAAAGGAACATGAAACTGGGTGCAACCGGATTTCAAATACAGGATATGAAAACTTAGCAAAAGCAGCGTGCTGCGACATTGTTTCTTTGTTCTCGACCTCCAGGATACATTTAGAAGCACAGAAAACAATTGAACTCCATCCCCAAGCTGCTAGTCAGACAGCTAAGCCGGACTTATGAACAATTCATGAAGGAATTTCCTCCCCAAGATGGAAAAGAGTACCAGTATACCAGCAAGGATATGCATCATGCCTGAATGTACAAAAGCAGACCAAAGCCAGGCAGAACAAAGGCTACATCTACATGTGGCCAAGCAGAAGCTAATAAGAGAAACAAGACTCAAATGATATCCAATTCATCAGATTCCGCAGGCCTAATTTTCTCTAGCTAATTTGTCAAAATAGGATTCTGCCATGGCAGTCAGCATGCAACTTGATATAACACATAATTTAGTTCATCCAATAACCTATGTTCTGACAGCACTAAGCTTAATTTAAAAAATCACAAGCATTACTCATAGTCCTACCAAAAACTTAAGGGCACCAATAACCACAACTAGGAATAGTTGAGACAACAATCCTATTGGGAAATCTATGCAAACAATTTAAACCTTCATCTTGAAATTTCTTTTGTAATTTGAGATGCTGGACATAGTGATTGGAGGTGCTACAGCTTAAGCGCTTTCAAGTCTGGCATAGCTGGGAGGCAAGCTTTACTACTCCCTGCATGGATGTGTCGTTCTGTCAAAATGATAAAGAGACAAATCAATTAGCATTAAGAAACTGCATTTCCCTCCATTTTGTACTTCAGAGAGAGAGAGCAAAAGAAGCCAAAACATTCAACCTGTATCTATAAAAAAGAAAACGAAACTCTAGCAAGAAAGTGCAGCTTACAGTCCTAGTAAACAGGCATTGTTGTAACAAAAGAAGCACAAGACTTAATTTAGCTCAAGCATCCAATCATGAAAGAAGAACTTTTTGCCTATTGGGAAAGTTAGTGTCCTAGGAAACAGGCATTTCTATAACAAAAGAAGCACAAGACTTAATTTTGCTCAAGCATCCAATCATGAAAGAACTCAACAAGCTTCTGGCATGTTCCAAATGAAATCAAGATCTGTTCGATCAAGACATTCACTTTAGAAACATAAGAAGACCATATAACTTTATTCTTTTTTCTAAATAAAAAATGAAGGCCATATAACAGTATATCAATATTTATGGACAGTCACTATTTCTGTATTCTGGAAGTGTCTCAGGACCCTCTTTATTAAAAGCAGAGAACAGGAGAACGAAGCTTGACTTGTTCTATAACATTTCAACTTACCAGATAAACTACATCAAAGGCCTTCTGATAGCTCTCAAGAGAGTTTTCCACATTGTCATTCCTAAAATAAGAATTTTATGAAGTCAAAAAACAAATATATGTGTAGACCATGATTTGAGAGAGAAGAGAGAGAGAGAAGCTTAATAACAAAGCACATTCAGGCAAGTGAAGCAGATTTGTATAACATTCTTTTTCATAGTCTGGTAAATGACATGTTCTATGGAGTTTAGCAGGAAGATTATTTGAACAAATTTGAAATTTCAAATTCTTAATGCGGTTCATTCTTTCTACTCAGTGGAACTGACATTTTGTCAATTCAATGCAACAGAATTCATCAGTAAATGAGACAAAACTGCTTTAAAAGCTCCAAGATATTTCACTTTCTCTTTAACTTTTTTCCCAGCAAAATGATTGTTCTTAGAAAAGGTAGCTGCAGTACAGATTGCTAGGTAGCCAGTAGTATAGTGATTCACTTTCTTAAATGCTATTGAAAAACTCGAGTCAACTGTTGTACACTTACAGAAATCCAACAGAGATCCGCGTTTCATAGTTGAGACCATCAGACATTCCCAGGTCTCCAATGTGATCACCAAGTAGCAGCACATTAGTTCTCTTCTTTACAAAGGAATTGTCTTCATTTAGCCCATTGACATTGTCAATTCTATCATGAACAGGTGCAGCCATATCAAGCGCATGCTCATTCTTATTCAGAACATGAATTGTCTTTCCTGCAGCAAATTTTAAGTTAAACCATGGACCTAATGTTTAAAATATCACCACTATCTGCCTTTGCAGACTAGAACACAAGCTTGGCTACAATTATAAATGTAGAAGAATGCATGTCCCAGAACAATTCATTAAGATATTCAAGAAGGAAAGTGAAAATTCAAATGTTTACATTACTGAAATTGCATTGTACTTGTTTCTGGCTGTTTTTCAAAAAGCCCAACTTGTTTTTGAGCTAAGAAACAATTAGTTAATTAACACTAAAAATGGGTAGACATTTTAGCAGATGTTGAAACCTAATTCTCTGAAGAAGCAAGAAAAGTTTTCTGTCAAAATAAGATAGTAGAATACAACCTTTGAAAGACACTAGCTGGCCATTCTGGTCAAATATCATCTGGTTGGATACAACCCTGACATTTTTGAAGGATCTATGAAGTTTCTGCCTGAATACCTGGATGATGTGAGCAGGGAAGGCACCACATTTCAGTAGCAAATTAGTGCATGCCAATGTATTCATGTTCCACTAACCAACAAAGACACCTGACCTCCTCTATTATATCGGCAAGACCAGCAGAAAATACAAGAACTGGAACATCTTTTTCCTGCATATCATGAAGAAGCAATTAAGGCAGCACTCATCCTGAAACATGCTCTAGTTCAGTGAATTCACGCCTAGAATATCAGGTTCATTTCAGTCTAACTTGAAGATATTGATATGCTGTTATCGTTCATTGCAGCTTAAATCAAAGCCAAATTTGTCACAAATGACGAAAAGGTACCCACATACCAAAAATTAAAGTTGCAAAAATAAATATTTCATGTTGGTGAAGGTAAAATAGCATGTACTAGAGTTTCAAGTTTTCTGTCATTTCATCCTGAAGCAATAGAATTAAAGATCAGCTCAACAGAAGCCACAAGCTTCCACCTCTACATTATGCTAACAAAACACATAAATTAAGTATGTTTTGGAGTATTTATTTAACTTCCATAATACATCATCAAAAGTATAGCATACCTAAACAAAAATTATGAATCCACTTTACCTCCAAAAACTCGAATAGTTCAACTACACCCTCCCTAAATGCAATTGTAGAATTAGTCACAGATTTCTTAATTGCATCATAGGTAAGGCCTCCCTCAACGAGGAGAGCATGACTTTTTCCCCACCTGCATGAAATGGCAGGGCTTCAGATGCTTCCGACACAATTAGAATTTTTTGAGTAGTCCATAATTTACTAAGTTGAAATTTGATTGTCATGTTGTATGCAGCTGTCATTCTTAGATAAACTGTTTTCTCTCAAGGTACTTGAAGCTCTCTATTTCGAGCTGTCATAAGGCTCACATAAAATGCAACAACTAGCTTCTACTAGTACTCAGTTCACATACCACTCTTCCATGAGTTTTGCTTTTTGATCGAGTGGAATCGTTGGATCAAATTCCAAAGGATGGTAGTATTCATATAACTTCTGCCTCTTCTCATCATATTCAGGACTCCCTTGCCGCAAAAGACCGTGGCTACCTACATTTGTTGTTTTTCACCCAAGTCAGTCTTTTGTTGCCAAAACATAATTATAAGTGTTCAGTACAAAACACAATCAATTTCTCTATTTCTGTCTGGATTTATTACTTACAATTTAAAACTCTGATGAAATTAAGAAAAAGGCACAACTTTTTAATAAGCAGGGAATAAAAGAGAACTTACTTTGCCCTCGACGTCCATCGATCCAGTACTTCGTTAACGTAGCATCAAAATCTGCAATCACCTACAAACAAAAATAGTTAAGGACCGGAACCTTACATGAAGAGAAAATATGTAAAGACAGGAATTCAAACAATAAACATTTTGGGAACTCTAAAAATTACGTGCAAAGATCTGACCTTTCAAAAATGAGGTCTAATGTACCTTGACATTGTACCTTTTTTTGGCTAAGTCTTTGACATTGTACTTGACAAAGCATGGAAAAGAAGCCTATACATACATTTATCTTTACGCTGCTAGCCTTTTTCATTAGTATATGGGACATGGTACTTCGTGGAGATAACATGTTACAACTTTAGGGTGGAGAGCTCATAAATGCTTTTAAAGCATAATCTGCTCGAATGGAAATCAGGATAATCTAAGACGGACATAGCTCATCGCACCACAAAATGGGGTTATAAGGAAACCAATTACTACTATCCATGGTTTTGTTTTTTTCCCCAATTTAGAATAAAAAAGATTAATATGATAACGAATAACCCGCAGTTACATTGCATGATCACTTTGGAAATTAAACAACTAATATCTTTCCACAATTTTGAGTATACTCTTCCGTTCCAGAATCATGTAACCAACGCAGAATTATACACAATTACTGAATCTAGATCATAATTTGTAGGTAAAGCTACCTAAGTAGGAAATTCTTGGTTTATGTAATAGTAGCACAATGCAGAACTATTTACATCAAGAAAAAATCATTCAAAAAAAGAAAGAAAAAACCTGGAGCTTTTCGGGACCCGCAAGGCGAATAGAAGAAATCTTGTGGCAAAGGGATTGAGGGTCCTTGACTACAACCTCAGAGCCATCGACAACTACGTGCTCCATTGTTTGGGTTTCTTTTTGGTGATCACTGCTGTAGCTTCTGCTACGTACACTTTTCTGTCTGAAAATTAAGAATTTATTACATAATCGCTTTGTATATGAGGAGAATGTACCAGAATAAAAAGAGCGTATGTGGGATCGGTGGGGTGAGAATTACAGCCAAAAAAATGAAGTAGTGGGATTTCAAGTGCTAACCTCCTGCTACTGGTGATGGTGGTGGGGTTGTGTTGAGACGAGGTGATGGGTATGAGAAGGCGGGCTAGAGCAGTGCTAGTGTTCCTAAACAGTATGTTAGTAGCACCGAGGTTGATCTTAGGAAGGAATTGGAGTCTACAATAGTGGTGAGAAGTGCCCATGAAGTTGGAAACGTGAGATGCTGAGATGTTCTACTTGTACTTCTTCCACGCCATTACTGCAGGAATAGGAATTTTCTGTTTTTCCTTGCGCCACCTGTCATGTTTCCATCTCCTATCTAGTATCTAGTAGGGGTTTTTTTAAGGAAAAAAGAAACATTATTGTCCCCTCTTTTCTTGATTTAAGAGTAACTCCATGAGTTAAGGGTTATTCTAGTTTTTTTTTAATATATAAAAATTTGGATAAATTCGATTCTAATCACTATTAGAAGTCGAAGTGTATGTTTCGAAATCCATGGTCGAGAAATTTGTATATACAATTCATCAAAGCTTTCCTCGCATCTAACAACAAAAGCTTCTAATGGTGTTTATATCAAAAATTTACCTTTGGTCCATCTTAGTGACACGGATCGTACTTGTCCGTGAGCGCGACAGTGCCTGGCCAACCAAGTCATGCACATTGTGCATACTGTCTTGGCAGAAAAATTGAGACTGTTAGTAGATTCACATCTCATTCTTGTATGTAGCATATGCTAGAAGCTTTCGGAACGTTCTAGGCTATTCAAGAATATGATGGAATGGTTTAGAACCTTGTAGATAAGAAGGGACTTGTGTAAATGTTTCTAGAGTCCAATTATATGTACACTTTGTGTAGAATTCTCTAGAGTTGTGTATAGTTTCTTAACTTGCCTATAAATAGGCAAAGTCCTTTCCATTTGTGGCAACCTTTGTACAAGAATTTTTAAGTGCAATAAAGCTTTCCTTTGCCTCCCATACTCTCTTTCTTTGCTTACTATTTTTACGCTTCCACACAACTTCGGCGCACTTAGTGTTTAGGTTAAACTAGCCAACCGTTCATAATTCAAGTCATGAATAATAGCTAGTGCCCACATAGTGTTGGCTTTTAGGAAAACAAATAACCCGTGACACTAGAAGGTTACAGCCCAATAAAGGCTCAAAATACTATCAGAAATTGCATAATAAGAAGAGTTACAATGGTGTTTATAGATTGTATATTGACAAAGAATAGCTGCAAATGAGATTCAAACCAAGAATACTTTTAAATGACTTTATCATTAGAGTCAACTCCTGTTTGTCCAAGACTTTCTGGTCTCAAACATACTACTTGTAGGGATGACAATTGGAGCACCCACCCTGCGAGGGTTGAGGTAGGGCAGGGCGGGAGGGAATTTTTTTCCCCGTTAAGAAACAGGGCGGGGGACACCACCCGTTAGAATATATATTTTATATGTATATTTATATTTAATTTAATTAATTACAAACTTCTAATAATATTATTATTAGCTATAAGTTTTATATAATGTATATTAGTATATGTAATATAATTGATATTATCAATTATACGAATAATTATACATGCCTACTAATAGAAATTATTAATTATTTATACTAAATTTACTAATGCATTTATACTAAATTCCTAATTATACTTAACACAATATCACATTTTTTTCTTAAAAAAATACAATAATAATTTAGTGATTGTATTTATTTCAAAAGCGAAAATTTGACTACTTTAGTTGTATTTGTTTCATCATGTTGGATTATATTCAAATAGTTTTTATTTGATTGTTTTTATAAATTTTAATCGCGAAATTATAATGGATAATGATTTGGTAATATATTGATATTTAGTACTTAATTATTTACTAAAATTTGGCTTCAATAAAATTAAATGACAAATTTTTATTAATCCCGCGAGAGCACTCACGGGAGAAGCGGGACGAGATGGGAGGAAGTATTGGGCAGCAGGGGAGGGGTCTCCCACCCCAAACCTACTCCGTTGTCATTCCTAACTACTTGCTTGTTGAAGAAAAAAACATACTACTTGCTTTGTTACACAACATAAAAAGGAAATAAAAAAAAGGACAAAAAGAAAAGAATAAAATGAATAAAAAGAGCTGTCAATGTTCTTCTCTACTTGGTCATAACAGGCTCTGGCCAAGTTTTTGAAGGCCTATCTTGGAGGCGTTTTTATTTGGGTCACCAGGATCGACGATGTATACTCGTAATTACAGGCCCAAAACTCCAATAATAGCCCTGAATTGCCACTGTTTTTAATCCAAGTCATCTTCTAGGGATGTCTACAAAATGTTAGGATGTTATATATCTCACCTTGTCAGCACAATTGAGTCCGCTGATAAAATTGAATCACTTTCATACAAAACATCGTGTATATGAATTTCACTATCGTCTTTGATGTGAGAGCTGTATTGGTGGATGATTTATACAAACTTCTATTCTGAAAGTATGACTGAAATCGAATCCATCCAAACTTTTTATTACTAAAGGAAAAAAAAAATCTATCTCATCTTGGTATTCTCCTCTTAACTATCCAAGAAATACATACAAAATGGGAAATCTGGCATGTCTAGCGGTACCTTTAGTCACCTTTTCTTTTCTATCTCAATTAACATGTGAACTCAAACTTTTTGAAAATAGATATCAAATGGAAAGCCTGTAAAACCGTAAATATAGAAAAATGATGGAAGAAAATGACTTGTCATGAGATGACCAGATCAGCACCCCCTGTCGTTGTCCTCGTGTGGTACCATGCCATTATGGCTGTGTCTTGAGTATTGCTATGATTTATGGCTGAAAAACTTCGTACTCGCGTGTGCCACATTTATCCTCGATTGAACTGGAGCTGAAATCCCCTTTTTTGAGTACGGCTGACAAGTGAAGTTTGTCGTTTTTTTATTATTTTTATCTTTTCTCGCACCTCTCCAGTAATTCAAGTATGCTAGTGTCATGCACCAAAATACTTTACCAATTATCCTTTTCCCCCCTTTTCATTTCAAATCGTTCAGCTTAATTACCCTGCAAACAACCTTATGATCACTAGGCATTAGGTATCTTAAAATCCTTTTGATGCCTGCAAAACGAGCAATTGCCCTTCATTGATTTGTCCCATCTTTTTCATGGCAAAAATGCTTTCTTTAGATTAAAGAATGGGAACTTAAAGGCGAAGACGAGATGTGTAACAACTCGGAGCACTATTTGCTTCATACTTTACAAATACTTTTGAAGCTTGTTACCATGAAAAATGGATTGACAAAGAAAAAGCAAAAGGGCCATAAAATTCTCCCTGATCAAGCCTAAAACATTCTCTGTAAAGTTTCAGGAATAGTAGATTCACTAGATCCTCTTTGGCAGATGCAGTTTCCTTTCTAAGAATAGATGCATTCCTGAACTGAAAAACATTTAACACCTCAAAGCAAGGATGGCACTTTATTTCTTCTCTTTGCATATAATGAAAGTGGATTCACTTCTGATCCCTTACAGGTTACATGAACCAGAAGGACCCCCATCTTTTAACTTCCAATTTGCACTAAGAAATCCAAAACCAATCAAAGAATAAGACCATGCAATAATTCAACAACACATGGGGCATATGAGCAATCCGTTCTCATTACATTGTGGACAGTTGACGGACTCCCCACCACCCCCATCTTCCGGTTTGATTTTCCGGCTTCCGTTGCAGTTGAAACACATGATAAACCTTACACCAGCACATCCTTCGCAGTGCCCGTTAGAGGAGTCAATAGGAATTCCTCCGAGCAATGGCCTAAGCCTTCCCTGTTCATGCAGTCCCAAAACCTCCTCTGCTCCACCAACGTACCTCCCCTTAATAAACAGCCTAGGAGGCACCACTTTTCCACCAAATATCTGCCATAACTCTTCCCTAAACTCTGAATGCATTGATATATCCCTCTCAAAGAACAAAATTCGGAAATTTTCCAACAAAAATCGAATACTGTGACAGTCTTCAAACGTCTTTCGAATCCCTCTAAGCCCTGTCGTGTACAGAATCACCGAATCAGAACCACCTGGTGGACACTTCTCTTCAAAATTTAATAAAGGATCAGCAGTTTCCTCAATTTTTCGAGCTTTTAGAGGCGGTTCTTCCTCGATACCTTGCCAAATTTTTTCTTCTATTTTAGCCTTCTCTCTGCTTCTTGTGCTTTAACTTCCATGACTGCTTGCTCAAATGCTTCGAGAAGATTGGGATCAAAAAGGGTTCCAGAATCTAAATTCGGCCTCCTGAAATTAGACCCATTGATCTCAGCTAGGGGTGCAGCTTTTGTATCTCCGCCCCTCAACTCTTTCGGCACCGAAGAGTCGTTCTTTTGCTTTAAAGGGCTCAAGCTCTCCAGGTTCTCCGTGTTAAAGACCGGATTTTTTGCGCTTGATTGAGGCCTAATGTTCTCTTTATCGTTGATGTCGTCGTCATCAATCTCCATCTCTTGATCCTCAAGATCTTTCATTAGCTCGGAAACATCAATAATCTCAGGTTCTTGATCTCGAACAGTTCTCCGAATAATCTTCTTGGTCTCTTCTTGAAGGAGCACAGACTGATTCTGAGCTTTGATAGCTGAATTGGGAGGTGAATCAGGAACGTACCCATCTGCTGCACTGACCTGAAGGATCCTATCCGGCTTCGGGTAACCAATTGTTTTAATGGTCTTCAATTTCTTGAGTAGCTTTCCTTTCATTGACTTCATCTTTTCTCCCTCTAAGTTGTTGTTTGCAGAATCCTTTGTAGAATAAAGTGAATTGGATAAATTTTAAAGGTGGAAAAATGAGTCCGAAAAGGATGCGAGAAAGATTAGGAGCAGGAGTTATAACTGTAATTTGATTCTTTCAGGCGTTGCAGGCTCAGACTGGGAGAAGGAGAGAGATGAGAAAGGAAAGCTGTTTAACGGCTAAAATTTCTTCTGGCAATTTAAAATTTCAAAATGATTGGGTGGGAGAAGGCGTTGCCAACGATAGCTGGACCTGGTTCATCTTCGATTGGGCTCCAGTGCTCTGCTAATACTACTAGGTACTAGGCCATATTGTACCATGGGCTAGAGAGCCTTGTATGGGTACTATACTACGTGTGGGGTTTCCAGCGTCTCTTCTGAGTTTGGTCTAATGCGGTCAATTTCTAAATGTATGCGGATTAGCTTCTAGGAATACCGATGATCAATTTCCGCGGCTCGCATTTCATACCTGAAGGATGGTAAGACTTTCATCTTTAGGCATAAGCTTTCGGTAATACCTTCATATGATGGCTTTGTAGTATTGGGTTGACTGGATTTGGTGTTTCTGTTTCTCTTTAGGGCCCTTTTACATGTTTTTAAACCAATCATGCTCTCGGATGCATTTGGTTACCTGAGGGTTTAGTTTTTCCCCCCTATACTGAAAAAAGTCAAAATCAGTTTTTGTTGTGTTTTCTAGGATTCTGATCGTGCATGCTATGGGCCAAAGCATGTTGAAGTTGCTCATGAACGGATGGCAGTCCAGACACTTCTCATCACTGATGAGCTCTTCAGGCTAGTGCTATTAGTTCTTAAATGTTAGATTTAACTTGCTGTGCCAAAAGCTGGGGATAAATTATTATGCCCCAATCGCTTGCTTATTTGATGCTTTGTCTCTATAATAAGTACATTTGTATAAATCCTGTGGAAATAAATAATTCCTTTCTTTTTTGAGAATTTGGTTCATTAAGGTTGTGCCTTCCACGTGAGAGCACCAGTTATTTTATTTCCAGACACATATTTCCAAACTTTTCCCTAAAAAGATTTTGCTTTTACAAACTTAAGTTTTACAGAACATTTGGGTTGTCAGGCTAGAGGAAGATGAAGGTCAGAAATTATTCTCTTTCTTTTTCTAATGGTAAAAGGTGGGGAGAGGTCATTGTGTTTTGAACTATGCCAAGGCTGAAACTACTACTATGGTTGATCCATGCTCTCAAAAGTTACAGTAATGATGATAATTAGCCCTTAGCCAAACTGACAGGAGAAAATGGATTCATATTAGATGATTCCTGTGGTCGGGTGAAGGTTTTGTTGCATTTGGGTACAATTCATGATTAATGTTTGGGTACACATTTCATTTTGGCATTTTTAGTAAGTTACAATGAAAACTTGCTTCAACCTGTCATAGAATCGTGTAGCTGAACATGTTTAAAATTTTTCTCCCAAGAAGTCTCTCATTCAGTATATTAAATTTAGTTATAAAGACGATGTCTTTCACATGCACCATATATATCCATTTACTCTTTGGCATGTAATATGATGAACTTGGATTCTGGAATAGCTACAGCTCATGATTTTGTCTTTCTTTTTTTTGGACTTCTTAGTCTGTCTTTCCCTATTATTTTGTGCTTTTCAAAGACGGATAAGTTTAACCTGGTTAGGACATGCCACATTAATGCATTTTTTTCTTCAGGAGTTCTGATATAGAAGCGAGGCAAAAGTATGCCAATTTGGTGAAATCAGTCAAGGAGTCAGGCGGCACTGCCTACATCTTCTCATCCATGCATGTTTCAGGAGAACGTGAGTGCAATTTTTTATTGAAATCCTCTTTTCTTCTTTAGGCTAACATCCTGTCTGAACTTTCATGCAAATATTTTGGATCTCCCTGTTAAATTTTGTTGCCTTGAGCTCTGAAAACAAAATGCTACAGGTAGTCAGATAAACTTGCTTGAAATCTGTTTCTGGTGTTATTGACTGTGGGTGAATTACAAAATGGTTTTTTCGTGGATTTTTCCTTTCTCCCCTGCAAAAGGCTGGTGTGCTGATATCTTTCTGTCATAAGGCGCTTCAGGAATCTGTTTAACTTACTTTTATGTAATTTTTGCACTCCCTTCTTTTTTTTTCTTTGTTTTTTCGATACGGTGCTGTAATCACTGATTCTTTTTTTCTTTTTCTTTTTTTAAAAAAACACAACAGAGCTGGCACAGCTGTCTGGTATTGCTGCAATTCTTCGCTTTCCTCTCCCAGACCTAGAAGATATAGAGATGTGATAGGAGAATTGCGAAAGTGATAGCTCCATATGTGGTTGTACAATTACTACTATTATTTCTTTCCTCGAGTTCTTTATGTACCACCAGTGATGAAACTTTACTTTCTTTTTTTTTTTTTTGATGGAGGATAAAACTTTAGCACTAGATTTATCGGTCATGGAGGAGGCTTTACAAGGGGGAATTAACCTATAGGCTGTATGTATACTGGTTTTTGACCAAGTAATCTACATCCATTGTTGTAGTTCGCAAGCTACTTTCTCGATAAGAAAGGTCATGGTACCTTACTCTTGCCGCTTGTCATAATTGTCGGTTGTCTCGGGCTTTTCTTAAAGGGTTAACTTGTGATTCATTTATATGGATCAAAGGTGTCCGCAAAAATTTGCAACTTGTAACGCTCCAGCTATTTATTACATGACTGGTCCATCAATTAGGGAAACATTACTGGGTTTCTGCTGTATTTTGTGTTCTGTCCTTTTATTGATTCCCAGTAAATGATTTGTGAGGTTTGATTTGAACTTGCAACCTCCTCAAGGTAACGTAGATGACTGTAGCTAAAAGAATTCCCTCCATTTCAAAGTAATGTTTTCGTAGCTGCTGAATTGTAGCTTGTTTTGGTGCCACCTTCAATTTCTATGTAAATTGCAAACGGCTTCTGATTTCTTGATTCGTGTTGTAAATTGACGACTCATATCTGCATCAGATTTTATTTTGAAAGCAGCGACAAAAAATGACTCATCCCCTCAATAATCCACAGATGAATAAACAACTCAAAAAGTGGTGCAAAGCCCAAGAAGATTAGCACTCAGCAGTCCAGATATCTGTAGAAACTCTCTACTTCTCTTCTCTTTTCTTTTATCTGTCCGTCATTCAAGCCAGAGTGGACTTTTCTCCTTGTGTTTACCGTTGTCGGCTCAAGTAGAATAAGATGAGAAATGAAGGCCTAAATGCTCAAGCTGCTTGATGGCGGTTTTAAGATACGAATTTTACGCATGCTTTAAAGAATTACGGAAACACCGTGCTCTCACCGTTTCCCTTTCCCTATAACCAACCCAAAGACCGAAATATCTTGGGCCATTTTATTTTGAAGTACGACTGGAAAACAGAGTAAGTTCTCCCTTCGCTTCTTCTTCAGTTTTGTTGTTTCTGCACCGAGATCTTGTGCTATAGTCAAGACCATGGTGTTTAAAGATGTGTTCATGGAATATAAATACTAGTAGAACGAGTTCTTAACTTCTTATGGATTTGGAGTAGCATTCAAGGCTGTCTGAAATCATTTAAGTTTGCAAAAATTTTTTTTTTTTTTGTTTAAAATTCTAGTGTAAGTTCGCGAACTTTACCTGTATGTGGAATTAGATAATACTACCTGATTTTCTATCTATGCTATAACGGTCTGATAACTGATATTCTGCTAGACACTTCGGTGTATTTGTGAAGAAAAAATCAAGTAGCTAAAACAGTAGTGTTTGGCATAGCTATAAACCATGAAGAGTTGCAAAGTTGAGATAAATTGACAAGTATTTAGTAGTTCTGGAGGCTTAGCATCTCCTAGCACTGTATATAATCGAGAACTATCGAAAGCAGGCTCCTTTGCTCTCTTATTTTCCTTCGCTGCAAATTGATTTTCGAATTCGCCGGCGTATATAACAGTAGAGGCTTAAGATATGTTGTTTAACATGTTAAATCATGCTGCATCATTGTTTTGGAGTAACAACATGATATAAATGTTCTTAACTGGGGTTGAATTCATACCATGTTTCTAGTCGGTAGTGGGAAGAGCAAGATGGGACAAGGCGAGGAAGCGAGGAAAGATGAATCCAATGTTGAGATTCTAGAAAGAGGGGAAATATTCTTCTTTTACCGGGCTAAAGTTAATAAGGAGGAAGCTCACAGTCCGGACGATGTGCAACGCTTGTACATTGTTCTTCGACCTGAGTCTGGTGAGAAATCTGTTGAAGAGAAACAAGGTTCTAGTTCTGGCAAGGAAGGTGCTAAGATGCATGAATCTGGGAATGATGAAAAGGAAACTTGCCCTGGCGATGAAGGTGGACGTGGTGCTGAAAAGGTGGACATTGAGCAGCAACCTTTGCTGCGATTCATTGTCATGGGGAAGAAGAGCCTTCCTGAGCCAAGCCAGCAGAGGGGCCGACCTTACTGGGGATTTGTCGAGTTGGTTACTACTAGAATTGAAGATGTTAAGGCTGCTCTGAAAGGAGAGGAATATGATACTAACACGAGAGGTCACAGGCGTACAGAGCCTGCTAGAGCGTTGGCTGAAGGTGTTTACCGCATCCTAAGGCACAGCCCTAGAAAGAGAATGCACACACATTTGGTCTACCGGCTTGAATTTCCACCAGAGGATGAGAAGAATGAAGCTCAGGAGTCGCTCAACGTTGAACGCGAAGGGTCATTCCTCATCCAGATTAAGAATCCGGAGCAGCAAGGCACTTCGAGGTTTGCTGGGCTTCAGAGTAAGCGAAAGGCAACATTTCCTGCCCATCTGCAGGGCCAATTTGGGAATCGACGATTTAATCCAGCCGATCCACCTGATTTTCTAAACTATGAAGGGTGTGAATTTCTGCTTATAGCCGCATCTGATGACATAGAAGAGGAGCTAGGATTGGAGCTTAGGACAGAAGTACAAAACTCGCACGATCCATCATGTTCAGATTTAGTCAGGACTTTTGGGGAAACTGCTTCAATCGAACCTCTCCTTGAAGGAACTTGGGTTTAATATTCCCCTTCTTGTTTCCCGTACACGATTTGCCAGGATGTTGATAAATGTTGGCAAATCAGGACTTGAGCAGTACTAGCTTTTGGTTGACACAGTAGTTGGTTTGGTGCTTTTGGTTTTGGTAATTCTAGCCTTCTAGGCGTGTTGTCAGCTAGGTGGAGTATATGTGATGTTTTGAGGCAGTCTGTGCTTATGGTTTGGCTTTTTTGTATTCCAGATGTAAATTACTGTACATTGTTTGGTTTGCTTGAATCTTATCTCGTCTCTATCTCTCGACAAATTGCAGCAGGTCATGCTTCAAAATTACCACCAAGAAGAAACGGAATTTCAAAGAATCAAAGCATCATCCATATTCCATACCCTGAAGTGCTGCACGAAGTTCATGGATATAATAACTAGCTATAGCAAATCACTGTAAAGACGCTTGTATGGAAGTTCTCCAGTAAATTAAACCTTGAAAGCAAAGGAAAAACGGCGTTCAAGAATGGAATGGTCAATCAGGCAGCGAACTCATTACTAAGGCCCTTGTTTTGGGGTACTACTGCAAAGCTGCAAACAGGACATTTCCTCGGTTTCTTACACAACTTGTTTGGCAGTCCAAACCTTTTGACACGATGTGGCTGTCGAAGGCAGGTTTTGGCGTGGTAGTAGCTGGAGCTGCTGAATGGTAGTAGCTTTCTTCTTGCTCCGCTTCCAAGTGCAGGTGACCTGTTTTTTGTTTCTCAAATTGCGAATCCAAATTGACGAGTCTCCAAATCAGCATCCAGGAACATGTGTATGGTTCGAAGCGACTAATCTAATGAAGGATCACTTTAATGTAATGGATGATGGGGTCCAATTGAAAGAGATGAATTCGGGACGGAGGGGGGTCCCGACGCATGAACGTTGTTATCAAAGCCTCACTTTCTGCAATAGTAAACGCTCTTTATTTGTTACATCCTCGCGACAGCCCACTTGCACTCTGAACATTGATTATTAATTAGCACGTATAATTACGCGGGTTGGGGAAGATATTTGACTCAGATTAATAAGGCCGGCGAGAATTACGGTCAATTCATTTAGGATTAACTTTTTATATGCAAGTGATGTGATTTTTTTTTATGCTGATAAGTGTATGGTACATGTATATGATTTAAATTTATGTTATATAGTACGCTCTAAACCTGTTAGATGGTAGTGTTTGTTTGTAGGGAAAAGTGAAGAAACGTTAGTTATTCTTTCCTTCATGCATGTTTGGTTGGCAAGAATGTTGAATATTTTTCTTGCACTTTCCCGCAAAATTTGCAGGATTTTGAAGGAAAATAATAATTAGTTACTCGCAAAAGTTTCAATAACTGCTATTTAACTGTCATTAGTTTTCTATATTTTCTCTATATCTTTTTTAGTAACCAAACGTGTATGAAAAACTTATTTTCATTTTCCTTCACTTCACTTTCTCGTTTTATTTTCTTTAAAAAAAAAAAAAAACTGTACATTAACGGTGTATAAAAAACATATTCATTCATTTGTCATTTTTGGCTTTTTGGGAACAAGGTTCGGCCTTATAGCATCAGCGCACCATGGAGTTTGGTAGCTAGTGGAAATTCAGAAGAAAGCAACAGGAAGCATAATTCATTCAGGTGGCATCTGGCGACCAACATTATGGAATGATTCATTCGGCTGTTAGTATTTTACTTTTTTTAGTACTAGTATATTGTCGCGTGCACGTAGTACTCTTTCGGTTTTAGCTGTCACAATATTCACTTGTCCGAAATGGCGCTACTACTTGTTGAAACCCAAGAAAAATGTATACGCTTCCATTTATACTACTATTATTTAAAAAAAAAAAGTTTGATGACATTATCAATATTATAATACATGCAAATTCTTATTCTCAAAGATGTCGATTTTCAGTTCAAGAATTTTCTCACTAAAGTATACTTCAATGCAAGCCCATCATCATGGACAGCTCGGTTGGTCACGACACGTCTTCTTAGGAATTATTGTCCAATTCTGCCAGAATTCGAATCCCATGATTACCGTGTTCGGGTTCGGGGATGAAACCTTTACTTTCAGATCGGTTGGGTTAACAACAACTGGACCGTTGCCATTTGCCAGTCGTGAACCAAAAGTGCAGGGTTGACACTTCGACACAAGCCCACTACAATTCCACGAGCCAGTGGAGTCACTCGTGTTTCAAAGGTCCAACCAACCAAAGCGCGTATTTCTCTCAAAGCCTGTCCGAAATACAAAATACATTAGCAAAATGACAGTGAGGACGAGGATCCGTAGCAGAGTACACTTATACGCCATTTTTTCATTTTGCTGACTAAATTAATCAAAGCTTAGACCAATTCTCAGTTGATTATCACTTTGTTCTAATCAAAATCTCAACTTTTTCCTTTTTTGTATTCTACTCAGTCTTTAACTACCCAGACCTTCCCGTGGAGCAGAGAGTTTCCTGAACAAGTACAGAAGTTGTTTACTTTCTTGCTAGCCCTGTTGTCTTTATTGTTTCCTTATCCGCTCATTAGCTTATCTAACAAATACCTGTTCTTCCCTGAGCTTAGTAATTTCTGGGGTTTTTCTTTTTTGATTGCATAAGCTATTTTCGTTATTCTTTTTTCTTCCTCGTTCTTTGATTTTATATTGTATTGTATGAGCTCTCAGCTGATTATAATTTTTTATTCTAATTCAAGATCAGTGGTTAATAGATGTTAATAGCTATATGCTATCTCTCGGAATCTTGGATATTTGAGTGAATTATATATTGATTGCATGACGTAGATGGGCTTTGAATTGGACCCTTGATGGCAATTTGGAGTTGATTAATCGGTTTTGACTAGCTGAGGTTTCATTTTGCCTGGATTGCAGTAAAAGTTCAGAGAGCAGATCTTTCTGTTCCTGTAAGCATACTAGTGCACCTGAAAACCGGCAGATCTCATATATGCGTTATTAGGAAGGAGTTTTTTGTTAAGGGATTGATTTTAGCGTGGTTAAGACAATATGGGGAATACTTGTGTTGGACCAAGCATCTCAAAAAATGGTTTCTTGCAGTCTGTTTCAGCTGCAATGTGGCGATCTCGGTCACCAGATGATATTATGGGTACTGGAGAGAGTGTACATACTGAAACACCAAATGCTGGTAAAGAACCTGAATCACCAATCCCTGTCCAGAGAAAGCCACCTGAACAAGTGAAAATTCCAGAACCAGAACCAGAACCAGAACCAAAAAAAGAGCCTCCAGCAAAGCCCAAGAAACCAGTACATTTCAAGAGGGTCGCTAGCGCAGGGCTTAAGGACTATGTTTTACAAACAAGAACTGGTAACTTAAAGGAATTTTTCAGCTTGGGGAAGAAATTAGGGCAAGGTCAATTTGGAACAACATTTCTTTGCGTGGAGAAAGCAACTGGAAATCAATATGCTTGCAAATCAATTGCCAAGAGGAAGTTATTGACAGATGATGATGTGGAAGATGTCAGAAGGGAAATTCAGATAATGCATCATTTAGCAGGGCATCCTAATGTCATATCAATTCAAGGGGCTTATGAAGATGCTATTGCTGTTCATGTTGTTATGGAGGTGTGTGCAGGGGGTGAACTTTTTGATAGGATTATTCAGCGTGGGCATTACACAGAAAGAAAGGCAGCTGAGCTTACCAGGACAATTGTTGGAGTTGTAGAAGCCTGTCACTCTTTAGGAGTGATGCATCGCGATCTTAAGCCCGAGAATTTTCTTTTCATTGATCAGAAGGAGGATTCACTGCTCAAAACCATTGACTTTGGCTTGTCTATATTCTTCAAGCCAGGTATCCCCAGTGTAATCTGAATTGCTATCTATTTTAGACTCAGTTTATTATTTTCTTGTCAAGTAGATCTTCGAGTAGATTATCCTTTCTAAGAAAGGATATCTTGCAACTCCCTTGAACTATGTTTTTTGAATTGAAGTAGAAAATGATGCCTGCCATCAAAAGTACTTCTACTGCAATTTGAAATGACAAATATACTGTTGAAAACATTCATGCTTAAGTTTGAACAATTATTTTGCATTCTTTTCTTCTTTTAATCAATAATTTCTTTTCTCCATTGGGGTGATATGGTTTTCAAAATTTCAATTGTTCAAAGTGCTGATGCATTCTAATGGTGACCCTGGTCTCTTCCACTTTTAGCCCTGGTGTTAAGTCATGTTGCTGGTAATCTTTCTTCATATTGCTCATAGCTTTTATACACTTTGAATACTTCGCTCTAGAAATTTCAACAAAATCCTGTGATATTTTCAAAAGCATGGACTTTTGAATACCTCACTCCAGAAATTTTAACTACATTACATGATGTTTTCAAAAACATGGACTTTTGCTTTAGTTGCCATAGAGTCTGAATAAGATTATAACAATGAATCTTTTTGGTTTTATTGGACCACTCTGACACTAAGTGTAGTTTCTTGCTTTTCTTAGTAGGAACTTCCAATGCAATATAAGCTCGATTATCGCTCTGTGTGCTAAAGATTATTTTACTACATCATCCCAAAGTGGACTTGCAATTTTGAATTTGTTGTCTGAATTTGTGAATATGTATCTTGCAATTCTCATAAACAAAGAGCTGTATTCATTTTTCATACTCCTTTGCATGTGGTTCACTGGCTGTTAATATCAATGAGCTACTGATAGTTGCATTTTTCTATTTTAGGGGAAAAGTTTACTGATGTAGTTGGCAGTCCATATTATGTGGCACCAGAAGTCCTCAAGAAGCGTTATGGTCCCGAGGCAGATGTCTGGAGTGCTGGAGTAATTGTGTACATTTTACTCAGTGGAGTACCTCCATTTTGGGCTGGTGAGATTTTTGAGGGCCCTTTAGAAGATTAAATCTCTCATTTGTGACCACAACATTTTTCTTTTATTGGTCATAGATTAATGGCTACTTTTACAGAAACTGAACAAGAAATATTCGAGGAAGTCCTGCATGGTGATCTTGACTTCTCTTCTGATCCCTGGCCAAGTATATCAGAAAGTGCCAAGGATTTGGTGAGAAAAATGCTCGTCAGAGATCCTCGCAAGCGTCTAACTGCACATGAAGTCTTGTGTAAGTGCATATGCTTCAAACATTTGAACTGCTTAAAGGATTGCCATTAATAATGTATGAGATTGAGTGGTATATGACAAACTTATGTGCTTTTAAGAAACTTGTATCAGCAGCTGTCAACCCATGGTGCAAAGCTTCCATTTCCTATGTCACTGATCTAATTAAATGAAGTTAATGCTAATATCTTGGTGTTCATCTATCTGTCACTCTTCTTTAAATT